AGAAGACATGTTGCTATTTAAGACATTACTTTTTCAAAGTTCTTCAGCCTAGCTTAATTTGACTCTGACTTCTGGCATTCCTTTCTTTACTTGATTAACCCTGCTACAGCTCTAGTTTTAGCTTTGTTTCATGATTTTTAATCAATTAAATATTTAACTTCAATGTAATTAGATTTCATTATGGCACCACTTTCCATTTTTTGTGAAATAAATAAGCATGCTATTTTCATGTTTGTGAAAAGAAGATAAACATAATCAATACGTTCTACTTTCTGAGTGGTTATAGCACTTGTGCTTTATTATACGTCTAAAGAGTATGGGCTTGACAATTTTATTGCTATTCAAATTATGATATAATAATATAGCTAAAAGGCTGTGAAGATCTTTGTGATTCATAGGAATCATGCTTCATGTTATAATATATCTTTAATATAACCTCTGGGAATATAGATTTGCGATTAATGCAAACTATGATGCCCTGATTTCATATAAAGCCAGCTGTGAAACAAGTATTTGGCAGAGTTTATTTCCACAGAACAGCCTTTTAAGAGTCAAAGTTTTGTATATATTTCTTGATATTTCTTATAGGTATTGATATCAATCTTGGCAGAAAATACATTATGTAAATAGTTCTGAACTCCTATATGTCTAATAAAAGTGAAAATAATGGACACACAAATAAAAATATTTTCCAAAAGGAAACACAGCTATAAAAAGTCCTGTTATAGTCAGAGATGGAAATATTCCTAGTGAAACTGCAGGGAGTGGTTATATCTTGGCAACACAGCTAGATTTACATTTCCGAACACATTGATATTGCTTAAAATTATCCACAAATTAACTTATTTTGCATTAATAATTTAGATTTTAATAAAGCATCTAAACAGTATGATTTATATTATATTTGTGTAAAATAATAAATCCCAGTTAATAAATTAACTCCGCCTGACAAGCGGATTCACACAGATGAAGTAGTCACTGGAATCATTCCTGAAGCCACAAGAAGCAACTGGCTGATTTGAAAACAAAGATGCATCCTATAACTCAGTTGAGCAAAATCAGGAAGAATGATTTGATATTCCAAACTTTCTGATTATTGAAAACATGAAACCCATACACTTCTGAAACATTTCTGTGGCTAATCTTGTGTGAAATAACTTGTTTTCCCTCTCAACTTTTCCATTTGCTGTGTTGTAGTAGGAGCTTTTGTAAAGTACACAGAACACTTCAAGATATAATTGTCACCCAAGAGAAGCCAGAAGCAGGGCCAGTATTGCAGATTGCTATCAAACTTTTGTTCAGACACACTCCTTGATCTCACATCGGCATTATGCCTGTATTTGTACCTTTTAGAGAAAGCTATATTTATAAGGAAGCCGGGGAAGTGACATACCATAGTAATGACCATGCAGCATCAATGAAAATAAATATTTTTCTGTTGATTCCTTTAGGAATGTTTTCCCCCCCCCCCTTCTTAGGCTTCCATAAAGCACAGGGGAATATGATGACTCAAGTGGAATACTTTTAAGCATTTTTCTTTAGGTCAGTAGTTCACATCTGGGCAAGGTCATTAGTGACCGGGAGTTATTCTCTGCAAGATGCTCTTAATCCTGCGAGGGGAAGTTTGTGGTCTTTGCATGGAGATATTCACATCACAACCAGTGTGAATTGGAACTAGTGCTGGATGAACCTCATCCATGTGCACAGCTAGATATTCAGATGCTTTTCAGAATGTAGGAGAATATAAATTGGGGTAGAAGTCTCCTAAGAGCCATCAGCATGCTAGTACTTGCTTCTTTTTGCTAAAACAGTTTTAGGGACATAGAACAAAATGGGATCTCCTGAGTCATACGTTTCATTCCTCTACTATCATAGGCGATTATATACTGTTATGAAACTACATCTTAAAAGTAGTTGAAGGTGCGAACAGACATAACATTTTGACCATTATCATTTGATGCTGCTATAAGGTCCTATGAAGTAACTGTTGCATTTTAATGCTACTATAGTGGTTATAAGTGGAATACATTACAATTTTAACCCTGTTTTATTTAGGGTTAAAGATAAAACAATTTAACTCACTTAAAATACTACTGGGAGTATCATTAACTGAGCCTATAGAGGCATGTCTATATGTGGATATTAGTATCATGCAATAAACTCTGGCATGGTTTATGCCAGAGTTTATTGCTCCTGGGTGCAGAATTTACATGTGTGCCTGGAAGAGGGTGGTGCAGCCCTGGATGTCAGGGGGCTCTGGGGGTCAACCTTCCTGCCCAAGGCTGCTCTGATCTGGCTCAATGTGCTGCGCAGGGGCTGGCTGGGGCATGAGGGTACTTCAGTGTGAGGCTAGCCAGCCCATACTAGCATCCTCATGCCCCAGCCAGCCTCATCAGCATCTACATGTCTGTTGTGATGAACTAAATAACTCCACCCTAGGAAAGTACTTGTATCTAACAATATTAACCTACAGAGTTAATTAGTTTACTCTGGTCTAATAACTCTGCTATGTGTAGGCCCTAATAGCTTTGCACAGTGATGCTTTACCAAGGAGTTAATTAGGCAACTCCTCAGAAAGCATCTCATGTAGATGTGCAGTAGATGTAGAAGTTGCATCATAAGAGTAGGTGTACATGCTGAAGTTACACCTCTCTCCTCCGCTTTTCAAGTGATGGAAAATAACATCTGTCTACAGCTTATGTTATTTGCCCCAGTGTATTTACTAGAGAGATATTCAGACCCTTACTGCTCTGTTGGTTATAAATCTTCTAATTTTCAGCCCATTTTTCAGATTTTAATTCTTCTTGTAAAATGATGAACCATGGCAAATTCATGGTGGGACTCATTGCAGATCAACGATGCTCTCTCATCAGCAAGAACAATGTCCAAGATACCATGCCATTGTTATTAACTCTCATTATTTTATTCTGTCTTGCAACATTTTTGGTGGTTTTATATAAATTCCACCATTAGGATTATGGGAGACCCTCAGGTTCTGTTTAAAAAACTAAGTTTCTAGTCCATGGCTTTAGAATTTCTTTGTGGGGGGAAAAAAAACCCTCATCAAGTTCAAAAACTAAATGACAGATGAAAAGAATCATAAAAATATTGTCTTTTAGTGTTTCCTAATTTTCTTGAGTGTTTGAATGTATGTTTGTGTGTAGGAAAGACCCACCTGAGGATTTTTTAATGCTTTGAGTTGATAATGCTGCAAAAGATATTTGTTCATTTATTTTAAGAAGTGCAGTTTAGTTTTATTTAATACTAAACTTTAGTTGTGCTATAATACATACAGTTTATGTTTCCAACTTGTTCAAACAATTAAAGGAAGAAATCACAAGAAATCATTCCTTCTTCTAAATCAGTCTATGGAAATGACACCACCCCCAATACATTTTAGCATAAATTTTCAACAACAATGGAATATTCCATACCTCTTTGGGGAACAGCCAAGGGCAGTGCCACAAAGAGACTAGGGATGCAGAAGAGAAGGCTACATCTTTCCCCATTCCCAAGGAATCAGCTTTTCCCATTTCCTACTGTCATGGTGGCCCAACTCCTCTAAGCAACCTACAAGAAGGGAAAGGTCATATTCCAGAGCAGGTTTCTCCATAAGAATTGTATGTATGCCCTCATGGTTTTGAGAGTGATAATGCCATAGAAAATGGATAACTTTGCATGCCAGCAGTAGCAGTTGAGGATTGTTTTTGAATCCCAGCATAAATAAGACTCCTGCCCTCCCTTCCACTCCTGTAACCTGTCCACCCCAACACTCTCCCCACCTGTGCCCCTCTTACCCTATACCTTATACCCTATACCCACTTATTACACCCCTGATAAATATAGCAACATTATGTCTGCAATTTCATTTTAGTACAAACAGAAAACTCTTTCAAAAGTAAAAAATGTGGAGGCCGTTATAAAATTTACTCTTCCTGCAGGAATTCCTAAAGTCTTCAGTACTTCTTTCTCCTAAACAATGAATCATATATCGATTTATTTTTTTTTTTGTGTTCATAAATAATAGAATTGCTATAAACTTGTGTTTGCCCTGGTTTATTTCAGGGTAAATGTTTACAACAAATTAAAGACAAGGGATTATGTTTGCTTCCTGGAAGTAGTAAATAAGAGACAACATGAAGAATTCTGGGAGTCTTAATTGGTTGAATCACCAACATATCAGGTAATATTTCATTTTTTCAGAGAATAAATGAAATAAATTGTATTTAGATATCCTTGGCCAATTTAGCAATCCTTTTTTTATCCAAGTATGAAACTGGAAACACTCCATTTCAATCCATGTCACTCTTCCTGATTTGTACTGGAATAGTTCATTCTCTAAATGCCTCATTTGTAATTTTTAAATACGAATTCATGATACAGAAGAGTGTGACAGCCTATTGATAAGGCTAAGCTTGAGTAAAGGTGGATACTTGTAAGTCCTTAACCGGATTGTTTTCATGCTAACACTTTCTATTATATGAGGACGTTAGACAGTGAATGATCTGTCTACAGTAATTATTTCCTTCAGACACCACATTTTTCAGGGTAGGATTTTTTTTTAATGTGAAATAGAAGGACTAGTGAGATCTTGTTACTGGATGCAAAATCATTGTGGTTTCAGCAGCTGTGGAGTAAAACTCATCTGAACTTGTTTCCTTTCAGTTTACTCAATTCTCAGTGAGAGCCTCTCTTATAATATGTTATTGCATATATTAAGTATCTTTTTCCTAGTTGATGCGGGGGCCAAACATGGTGACATTGTTTTGTTTAAGTTGGACACTCCAAGTGATTTCAGTGTCTCTTTCTAGCACACAGAGCTGCCAAAAATTGATACCAACTACAGGAATAATGCTAACACATCTTAATATATTAGGAAGACACTTTTTAAATAATTCAATATGAGAAGATTTCCTAGATTCAAAATTAAAATTTCTGGAAAAGATAGGAGACTCTAATAGACCTAGTACAGAACAGCCTACGACTAAGGGTAAATATTTTGAAAACACCTTAGCAATTTTAGAAGAGTTCAGAACCTGGGCTCCACTGCATGTGGAGCAGGATCATCAATTGTACCTAAGTCCCAAAAATAGCAGTTATGAAGATATGGTAACTGCTATTTGGAGACAGAGTAAAATAGGATTCTGCCCCAGTGTTGCTGCATTTAACCCTGAAATAGGCACCTGATACATGGGGAGAATTAGGTTCCAACAACAATCAAAATGAGCAGGGAAACACCTAAGAAATCAATAGGAAATGCTGAAGAAAGCAGTGTATCTGATATACTGGCTTTCCCAGATTTATGTTTCATTGTGAAATTCAGATGTATATCTGGAAAATATTTAGGCGCCTAAGTTCTCCCACTATATATATGTACAACTAACTCATTCTTAGGATGCTGGTGGCTGTGTCTGGATCAGAAAGAAAAGAATGAGCATGACAAAAGTCAGTGCTTGTGTTACTGGTCTATAGGCTCATTGGCCTTCTTTATTTTCTCTCTTACTCTGATTCCACATCTTGTATTTTTTCTACATAGTGGCAGAGCTTCAAGGGGAAGGTAGAGTGCACCCATAACCTAGCCTAGCCCATTTCTGGTGCACTCTCCTGATTGATGGGAGATGTGTGATTGAACCTCTTCAGGCTGGGATAGCTTTAAACCTAATCTCACACTTCTCAAATGAGTGCCTGAACTTCTGAGGCATTTTGTAAAAAATGGGTATCTCCTTTCCTTCAGCTGTCTTTCAGAACAGAAGGAACTAGACAGTATGTTTTCTGTTGAATTAATGTCATCAGCATCTGTTAGGTGTAATCTGAGCAGAACTACTGTAACATATGTTTTAGAGGGATTTAAGTACAGGGTTGCTTATTTTGTGGATTGGGTAAACATTGAACTGCACAGCTCCTCACAGAGTTGCAGTTCTGAGCATGCCCAGAAGCAAAATCATAGGTGCCCAGGATGCTTGATGAAAATGTAGGCTTTTAGAGAGCCTATTTTGTGAATGCAAACATATAAAATGACTTTACAGGAGGGAGTAGTAATTTTGCTTTCTAAATTTTAGATTATTTTTAGTAACCCGTTTTGCACCCTTTTCCCCCAAGCATTTGCTCAGAGTAGAATAACTAAAAACTAAAAACTAATAATTAAAAAAACCCCTGCGTTTGCCTTTGCACAATACAGATATTTTTACAGAAAAGGAATGTGGCAATTGAATGAACCCTCAGCTGATCTTGAGTCTATAATAAAATGTAAAAGACCATTTTTTAGGACTTCTATAGTTACTTTACTTCAGTGAAAGATAGAGGCAAATAATATAAATAAAAGATGAAAACAATGCAATACATTTTATTAGACTATTAGGTAAAGCTTACTACAACCACCAAATAAGACTAATGTTCAAAGCCTCTGCAAAACCTATATAAAAAGTTTTATTTGGTGGAACTCACTTGGGCTTGAGGTACCCTTTAGCAACTTTAGAGTCTCAGTAATAACGTACCTAGTGATCAAGGGCATCTTCCACTTTGTTCAACCACCAGGTCTTTGTTGTCCTTCAGAGGAAAGAGAAATTGTACATAAAGTGAAGGAGGTTTCTCTATGAAATAAATGCACATCTTCATGGAGACAGGGAAGACCTTTTGGAAAGGCTGTCTTCTGAAGTCCAGCTTTTAGAGGAGGCCCATAAACTTTGATTGCTGGGGAGGCTTTGGGCCAGATGGCTTCCCATAGCAGGAATATTTTGCTGTTGTTTTGGAAGGTTTGTTCCCCATGGCTTTCCTCAGTGAAGAATTTGTTGGTTTCCAGGAGGCAAGTGGGGAAATTAAGAGTGACTGGAATCTGGAATTAAGGTATTGGGGCCTCCGAATTTTACCCAGCTCTACTTAAGAGGAAACACATGTTAGAGAAACTGTGGACAACAGAAATTGTGTGCAGTGCTAGACTGTGTTAATGATATTATTTGTTCTCTTGTTTTTAACTTTTTGATCTTCATTTCAGACATTTTTGTCTGTATGTAATTTACTAAAGTCATAAATAAATATTCAAGAAAAATTCCTTTAAAATTCTCATTGCTGACGTTTCATGACTGATTACTTATGTTCTGTTTCATTGTAGTTCCAGCTAACTAGAAGCTTCAAGATTTTCTATGAAAGACTATGAGAATAAGTATCTATTTAACAAATTCATAAAACAATAGGAAGCTTTTCTTTGTCTGTGGCTTGTTGTACTACTTAGCTAAAAGTCAGGATCTTATTTTACTTCAGCAGATTTGCACAAAGTAGGCCAGAAATGGACTTGATCTTTCAGGTATAGCTTGTGTTACTTTGCAAAATTTCTGCTTCAGCTTGTAGATAAAGATAAGGATTTCAGGTTGCTGCAATTCACGAATTTCTCTCTTTGTTGTTTATTATTATTCTCTCCACTCTTCAGCACAGACTCTGCAAAAAAAAATCACTATATTTTTTGAATCAGGGGATCCAGAAAGGGGCAAACCAAATGTCTGCCATCTAGGACAGACTGTGATCTCATGTAAAGCTCAAGCCACTCCACTGAACTCATGGTGGCTTCTACTTCAGTTTTAGACCAACTTAGTTAAGATCAGATTGTGTCCTACAGTATCTAATTTGTTGCATGGCTAAGAAAAGAAAATAATCACTGAAGAAAAGGCTTAATAAAATGTCCTCCTTCTAACAGGTAATGGATATTTCTCTGATTCTTAAGATATTTTGTATGTTTTTACCCTATTTTTTTTCCTTTTCCTATTTCTTTCTTTTTTTGTCTGTATGCCAGAAGTGAAGGTGGGGGCACAGATAGCATAAAGACAATTAAGTCTCTTGAGTGTATCACCATTTACTTAAGTGGTGATACATTAAACTACCCAACTTTTTCCAATTTTCACTGACAACTGAAAAGTAGCTGTGCTAGAAGCTTAACAATGTGCATATCAAAAAGTTTACACTTAAATAGAATAGAAATCAAATTTAAAAATAATCCTTTGGCTGTTTGAACTGATATGACATCAGACAGATCTGAATGCAATAGAAGAAGAAAAAGAAGAAGAAAAATATGCCTGGTTTGGTGATAGCCTTGCTTATATTTGTTTGCGGAACACCATTTCCTTTCCAAATACATTTATGACAAAATGGGCATATCGACATGAGATGTGTTAATATACATTAGCTTAATTTAATGTGCATTACCCTTATGCATCTACACATGTGCACCCTTAATGCACATTAAAAATAGTAAAATTAGGCTAAAGTGCATTAATGCACATGTAAACATGACCTGTAACTGTAGTGCCGGGTCTGCCCAGCCACTAAGGGAAAATGTCAGGGCTGAAGGGACTTGGCACAAACTTTAGTACCAAGACGCTACACATGGAGACCCTTGCCAAAAATTGCTTAATGCACATTACATTTAGTCACACTTAAATGCATATGTAGATGTGTCCAATATTATATTGCCCTCTACAAAATTACAGAGGCCAAGTTCATGGGCAGATCTAGGATTTTGAAAAGGGGGGTGCAGATCATATTGTACATCCTCACAGATTAACTGGAGAAAATTCTGTTGTGTTTAAGTGAAACTAGAAGCTTTACCAGTATGGTAGATGGCCTCATGCTATATTATTTAGTTTAAGATCAAAGCAAAAACAAATATAACTTTATAGGAATGCCAACTAATTCACTATATTATATATAATGTTTAAATAATATAGTAAATGAGAAAAAATAGTCAAAATATGTTGCATTAGTCCTGTAGTTATTATAGCTAAATGTGTATTTCTCCTGCAAATTTGTAAAATAAAATCTCACCTTCTTGAGCATTTTGACAGCACATACAACACTTTACTGTCAGTCATTTCGAATTAATGTTTACTGGAGTTAATTAGGTAAAAGCCTGAGTGAAGGGTTTTTCCTAGAGATAAAAACAGTCTGCAGAGCTGTGAAATAGAAGAGAGACATGACAAGGAATGGCTAACAGATAGCAAAATTGCAGAAGAAAGATATCTTGATTTATGCGACTTCAAGACCATTAGAAAGGAAAGAGGGCCATTAACACTCGTGGAACGAAGAGAGATTAGCAGGGATCAAGTATATTATAATGAACCATGAAGTCAATCGATTCCCTCAGCACTGTCTGAACAGAAATGCTGTTGCTCCTCCCAGGAAGTTGGT